CTTTGAAGTCGCTCCTCTGAAGTGCGGGAAAGGCCGTGTAACACTGCTGCAGAATATGCAACTTTTTGTCGTATTAAAGCATTGTGAACAGCGAGCATGGATGATACAGATCCGCCCCATGATGTGCCAGCAATTCTGCGGAGTATATTCACTAGTGTATTCACCTCGTTTTCGAGTTTCTTTATGTGAGGTGCCCATGATAGCTGCCTATCAAGTATTACTCCGAGAAATCGATGCTGTGTCACAATCATTAGTGGTTCTTCTTCTAAATTGAGATTGAAGTTCTTTAACTTCTTACGGGTGAAGGGCAATACAGCTGTCTTTGCGTGCGATAGAATCATTCCTCTTTCTTTTAAAAAGTTGTTGACAATATTTATTCCGTCTTGCAATGCAATCTGAATTAACCATATGTCCGTGCCAGATGCCCAAATGCACACATCATCTGCATATAAGGAGTATTTCAACCTGGAAGGCAGTCTTTTAGCTAAATCAGCCATAACACAGTTGAAAAGAAAAGGGCTGAGTACGCTTCCTTGTGGCACTCCCTGTCTGACGTCGTGTTCTGCACTTTTCCCTTCGCTTGTCTGAATGAATATTTTACGACCTGAAAAAAATTTGGATACCCACCGCAAAGACCTGCCGGACAGTCCGTGTTCCAACATACTCAGCAGAACATGAGTGTGACTGACTGTGTCAAATGCCCTTTTGATGTCCAAGAACATTGTGACCGTCAAACTACCACAGGCGCGTTCATGCTCCACATACGTTACTAGGTCCAGTATTGCATCCATTGTGCATCTCTGTTTCCTAAATCCTGTCAAGTAGTTGGAGAATACACCAGTTCTGTTGCACCACCATTGAAGTCGCGCATCAATCATTTCTTCCATTACCTTACATAAACAGCTTGTCAGACTGATTGGACGGAAGGATTCAAGGTTCAAGGGTGTCTTAGCCGGTTTTAAGATCGGAATGATGCGAGCAGACTTCCAAGACTCGGGTACAATTTCTTGCGTCCATAGATTATTGTAAATATCTAAGAGAATAGTTGTGCCTGTGGGCCCAAGGTTCTTTAGCATATTGTACGTAATGCCGTCCGGTCCAGAGGCCGATTTTTGACGACATGATGCTATAGCACAATGCAGCTCCCTTAACGTAAATACAGGGTCTAGCTGAGGATGCTCGGCCCAAAAGTAAGCATTAATTTTCTGGCTGGCTAATGCAACAGAATTATCAAATAAGGCACATTGTGATGCGGCGGGCCTACTGATAAGTTGACAAAATTCATCTGCTACCACAGCTTCCGGTTTGTCCAAAGCTACAGCAAGAGCACGAAACGGGAAGCTCTGTGATACAGGGCCACTAAGTGCTCGAATTACAAGCCAAATTCTTGGAACAGGTGTGTGGGGAGAGAGCGTGCCACAGAAATCACGCCAGCGTCGTTTACCTAAATTTTCTAGCCGTCTGCGCATTACACTGTGGATTTTCTGTGCATTTTTGTATGCTTCTAAACTTCCGCTGCGTCGATATGCCCTTTCTGAACGTCGTCTGATGGCTCTTAGATGTTCATACTCTCCATCGACTGCAGCATAGTCTTTTGGAATCGGGACTTTCTTTGTACATTTATTCGCATTATCTTGCAGAAATTCAGTAAACCTTTCAACTGTCATGAGTTCACTATTTTGGTTTGTTATGTGGTGCCGAAAAGCTTTCCAGTTCGTCAATTTGCTGTAGCGTCTGGTGTCGTCTTTTCGCAAGTAGGGGTGACTTATTAGAATGGGAAAATGGTCACTTCCACGTGTTTCTACATCCGTCGTCCATACCACACCATTCACTAGATCTTGGGAACACAAGGTTACATCGATGCAACTAGAGTAATTATGCCCTCGGAGAAAAGTTGGGGAGCCGTCGTTTAAAATTGTCAAATTGCATTTGTCTGCGGCACACTCGACAATGTTCCCACGTGCATCACATCGATCACTACCCCAGATTATGTTGTGCGCATTAAAGTCTCCACATATAAACGTATATGAATTAGAAATGTTGAAGATATTTGTTAGCTCTTCCACCGAAATGCGGCTTGAAGGTTGTAGGTAAAAATTGATCACTGTAAAGCACTGCTCACCAAATGATACTTTGCAAGCGACGAATTCCGGGAAGTCCGAATCACTTGAGTTAACTTGATGAGAAGGTAGGTCCTTTCTGACGCACAAATGTACTCTGCTAGGACCACTTCGACGAGATGACTTATATATCACGTAGTTGGAGAGGCGGAAATCATCATTCATTCCTGCCTCTTGGATGCAAAGTATTGGAAAGTTATACTGCAGAAGGAGTTTACGGAAGTCAGCACACTTCCTTCGAAGACCATTGGCATTCCACTGGTATATGGAGACATCTTTGTAGCGCTTATTCATATGCTACTTGTCGCAGGTTTGACCCGGACTGTTGACACAGTAGTGCTTCCAGAGGCAGCAGGGCTTTTACTTCTGGCAGGTTGTTTGCTTCCGGTAAAGCAGACAGGATTGCCTTAAGTGCTGCGAAAAGCATTGGCAGAATCAATTGCATGACTGATGCAGAGGCACGGTCTCCATTGAATGGTTGATTTTCTGAGGCCTGTTGAGAATGACGTGGCGTTTTGGGGCGAACACTGGCACTGTCGGTTTTGCTACTTTCCGGCAGAGGTCCCGTGGGCGTTCGTAGCTTTGACGCGTAGGTTGGGTTACTTGAAGGTACTTCTCGTGAGTGGTCTCTCGAGTGTGCTCTTGGCGTCTCTCTTGGCGGTTCTCTTGGCGTGCTTGTCGGTTGTTGTTGCGGTGGCCGCTGAGGTGGATCACGTACAGGATGAACAATCTCAAGGTTTGGAGATGGTTCATTGGGGCGCGGTTTTCTTCCATGGATGAGCTCATGCTGACGCATTTTTGTAGCAGCTTTACTTTGCGGGCAGCCTGAATATGAGGCAGCGTGATTACCTGCACAGTTTGCACACTTAGGCTGAAGAACAGACTTGCACTCCTTATGATGGTGTTCTTCTGAGCAGATCTTACACCGGCGTGTGTTACGGCAACTTTTCGCCATGTGTCCGAATCGCTGGCAGTTATAGCACCGAAGTGCTGGACCAAGATATTCTTCCACTGGGTGAGTGGTGAATCCTAAGTAGATTCTTCCTGGAATCGGGCGGTCATCTCGAAAAGTCAGGATCACTGAGTGAAGTGGACGCGTCGTTACTCCTCCATCTTCCTGGCGGTAGTATTTTATTTGCCGTCGCGCCGATATAACCCCTGCATCTCTCAAGTACTCTAGGAGTGTTTCGTCTGAATACTGCAGAGGAACATGTTTTACTTTCCCAACGTTCCGAGTGTAAGACTCTGGGATGAAAGGCTTAACTTCCAGGCCACCTACATTTGAAAGCATCAGAAGTCGCTTAGCTGAACTTAAGGAAGCAACGCTGACACTAAAGCTTCCATCTCTGGTCGTTCTGAATGACTGCACTTTTTCTTTAGCAGCGGAAACTACTTCAGCTGACACTCGATTGGGGTTCACTTTCCAGAAGCTAGCACCTTCAGCTGTTGGACGAAAGACGACTGGGATATCCTCTGCTCGTTTCTTTTTATAAGTAACCAACGTAAATGATTCATCTTCGCCCATGTCTTCTTCATCACTTAGGTGATAAGTTGACGTTTTATCGTCGAGAGGATTCTCTTCTAAGCGAGGCTTCTTGCTCTCAGCTTCATCGTCTTCCAATGCTGCTGTGCTCGCTTGAGCCATTTCGCGGTTGTGAATTTGCAAACGTGCCGGCTTTATGATGCTTCGACGCACCTGTAAGCCCCCAGGCTTTTCATTGTGTCCTGCAGTATCACTCATGTGGTTTAACGCACTTGGACGAGCATAAGGCTCGTGGCGATGGCTACCAACCACCGTAGTGGTCGCGTACTAGCCAAATCTTTGATAACGGAACCTCGTACCTGTAGGGCGCCGAGCCCTCGAAGTCTTCACCCGGCGTCTTGTCGGCACACCGCGAAGAAGGTGCCTTTCCCGTCAATGTGAGGTGACCCTCACAAGCCTTCGCTGTAGAGTTCCTCTGTTAAATTTTTATCTCAACAAATCAGGATTTTTCATTAACTAACCTATGTGTAGTTTGCAATGAACCGGAAACAATAGATCACTTTCTTCTCACATGCCGCCGCTTCGCCTCACTGCGCCGAATAATTCTTGAAAGACCGATTGGTATGCTCGGATTGCCAGTCAATACATCCACCCTATTATCGTTTGGAGCCAGTCAGTTGGGTGTGGGCCGCAGTGCTATTCTGTCAGCGCTAAATAAATTCATTCAGGCAACCGGAAGGATACGCTGCTAGTGGTACTGCCAGATATATCCAATTATTTCTCCCCTTCCTCATTCTTGTTAATTTGTTTTATATATTATGGTTTATCGCGTTCATCTGCAATTTTTTCACGTTTTTCATAGGAACATTATTATTGTTTCTATCTAATTTCTCTTTATTTTTTTAGCAGGCGTTGTATAAAATGATCTATTAAGACACGGAGGAAGGAACCTTTTCCTTCCTCCGTGTATTAAGAGGTACAGTGTGGCCAATCCCCCATGTGGGTATGAGCCAAGATCTCCTAGGAGACAAGACAAGACTAAGCAATACGGCTAGACGGCGCTAGCCGCCGCCCAATCTAAAGGGTACAGCCTCATCCATCCATCCATTTCACTGCTTCCTTTTAGTAGGTGTAAAACTGGAAGGTGTTCTGTGGTAAAACTCTACTGTAACTCTGATTTCCCCGTGCTGTCGCTGCCTTGACGCGTATGGTGGCCGACTGCAATCGAAACTCCACTATGACGGCTCGCTTCGTGCTGCCGCCGATACAAGACAACCCGACAGGATGGGGTCCGTGCGCCATACCGCAGCAATACCAAGATATGCCGTACCAACCGTTCGCCAAGAGCGACCGCCTTGGCAAGGTATGCTTAGCCGCAAGTAGGCTTAGCTGTGTCTACAGCCGGCGCCGTTTTATGTTCCTCGTGGCTGACGGACCTGCTGAACGTTTGCGCAGGTGGCAGATTGGACGGGGACCACGTATCAGGACAGGAGAGCTGCGAGTGAGTTCCTTATTTCTTTGTCGCTGCTGATCACTCTTACGTACTTGCAGGAATGTTTGCGGGTCATTGTACCGTCTCCGCTTCGTGCCATCAACGGGCTAATCTGCTGTAAACATATGTTATTCTTGATTACTACAGGCGTGTGAAAATGGTATCGCTGCTCGACTGTTGCTGCGCTAGGAAGCTTGTTCAATTTAGCCCCGAACGTGTTGTACGCAAATGTTACGTACGGCAGGATGTCGTCCCACGTTCTGTGCTGCACATCCACGTACATAGAGATCATGTCGGCTAGCGTTTTTGTTTAGCTTTTCTGTTAAACAATTACTTTGAGGGTGATCTTTCGATGGGTTGTATAACTCAACCTGAAGATATCATCCAAGAGCTTCGCTGTGAATGATGTCCCTCGATTAGTGATGACATATGACGGGGCGCCATGTCGTGGCACAATTTGATGCATAAAGAGCAAACCTCATAAGCGCGAAAATGCACGCGACAGCGACGAGCGATGCTATGAGCGACGAAACAGGGCGTTCGCGCGACGTATCGCGTGCTCGTTTTCGCGCGATCGCTCGGTTCTCCAGATTTGGAAACCGTCGCTCATCGCCTGGAAGTGCTGGGCTCAAGCAGCCAATAGCGAAAAACCGGAAAAGACAAAGACTATGTAGGTGCACGTGACCCTGCCCGAGTCACGTATGCGCAACAAAAAATAACGCAATGTTTACGCATGTGCATATAAAAAAGTGCTGCAAGGCATTCATAAACACTTTCCGTTCCATTATATAACAATATATTTTATTTTTAAATTGCATACCGCTCACTACGCGGTTTTCTTGGTGCGAGTAGACGGCCTCATTCCAGCAACAGTGGAGTTCGCTGGCCGAAGCCGTCGCGTGAATGAGGTTTGCCTGCGCTAGCGACTGATCGCGCGAAGACGATCTACGTCGCATCACTCGTCGCTGTCGCGTGCATTTTCGCGCTTATGAGGTTTGGCCCTAAAAAAACTGGCAACTTCAGCTGCGGTCCCTCGTGGCAATGCCTTCGTCTCAGCGTAACGCGTCAAGTAATCGGTTGCGACGATGATCCATTTGTTGCCAAAAGAAGACAAAAAAAGCGGGCCTAGGAGGTCCATTCCCACTTGATCAAACGGTGTAGAGGGTGGATCGATCGGTTGTAGACGGCCTGCAGGCTTTAAGGGTGGTGTCTTGCGACGCTGGAATTCACGGCATTCCTTCATGTAGCGTTTGACACAAGCAGTTATTTTAGGACAGTAGTAGTGTTGTCGCACTCGATCTATAGTTCTCGAGTAGCCCAGATGGCCGGATGTGGGCTCGTCATGTCAAGCTAATAAGACGTAATCGCGGAGGGCTTCAGGTACGACGAGAAGATGCGATCTGTCACCAGCACCGGTGTTCTTTTTGTATAAGACGCCATTTCGTAGGCAAAATGACGGCAACGTTCGCGACATCGGACGAGGAATGGGTGCAGTGCCACCTTCTAAGTGATCTATAATCATTCTTAGATTGGCGTCATTTCGTTGATGAGACATCAGATCCGGCCCGCTCAGAGTTGCCACGAAGGTGCCGTCCTCTTCTGCGCTTGTACTGGCGGATTGAAGAAATGCTCGTGGTAGCGTGTCGGCATCTTCGTGCTTTTTGCCTGACTTGTACACGATGGTGACATCAAATTCCTGTAGCCGCAGACTCCATCGTGCTAATCGTCCTGAAGGGTCTCGTAAATTGGTCAACCAGCACAAAGCATGATGATCAGTCACCACTTTAAATGGTCTTCCGTAGAGATATGGCCTAAACTTTGTAATTGCCCAAATGACCGCGAGACATACTTTTTCTCATGTAGAATAGTGAGATTCTGCGCGGGACAGTGTGCGACTTGCGTAGGCTATTACCCGTTCAATGCCGTCTTCTCGTTATACCAAAATAGCTCCAAGACCAATATTGCTGGCATCGGTGCGTACTTCTGTGTCAGCATCTTCATCGAAGTGGCCTAGCATGGGAGGGGAAGAGAGCCGGTGCTGTAGTTCCGCAAAGGCAGTCTGCTGTTCGTCAGCCCAGACAAATGGTGTGTCATTACGCGTGAGGCGTAATAGTGGCTTTGCAATGTTGGAGAAATTTTCAATAAAGCGCCGGTAATATGCGCACAGATCCAGAAATCGTCGAAGACTTTTCTTGTCAGTTGGAGTTGGAAAAGCGGCGGTGGCAGCAATTTTGTCAGGATCAGGCCGAACACCAACGGCGCTCACGACGTGACCAATGAACTTCAATTCTTCATAGCCGTAATGACATTTCTTAGGCTTGAGTGAGAGATTGGCCGATCTAATGGCTTCGAGCACATTCCGAAGGCGATGAAGATGCTCGACAAACGTTTCTGAAAACACAACGACGTCATCGAGGTAGACGAGACTGCTTTTCTACTTGAGGTCTGCCAGGACGGTGTCCATAATTCGCTGGAATGTGGCTGGAGTGGAACAGAGGCCGAGAGGGAGCACTTTGGATTCATAAAGTCCAGTCGGCGTTATGAAAGCGGTCTTTTCCCGGTCACGTTCAACGACCTCTATTTGCCAATAACCGCTCTTCAAGTCGATGGACGAAAAATACTTCGGGCGTCGCAGCTTGTCCAGAGAATCATCGACTCTGGGCAACGGGTACACACACGTCTTTCTTTGTGACATTGTTCAACTTTCTGTAGTCGACACAAAAGCGAAGCGTGCCATCTTTCTTTTTCACAAGAACGACTGGTGATGACCAAGGGCTGCTTGAAGGCTGTATCACGCCATCCTGAAGCATTTCCTTATTCTGCGTTTGAATCGCGTTCCGTTCGGTTGGCGAAACACGATAAGGCTGCTGCCGTATGGGATGCGCGTCGTCGTAGGTGATAATACAATGTTTCGTAATCGGTGTTTGACGTATCTTCGAGTGCGAAGCATGTGTGGAATTCCAGCAACAGCTCGTTCGAACGCTGCTTGTTCGCTGCAGAAAGCGATGGATTGATGTCGACGCTGCGGAAAGGCGCTTCAGCAGGGCCGATAGTCTCGGAAGCAAAACACTCGGTGACATTGGCGACTGGGTCGGCATAGGCAATGACAGTTCCAGGAAAAAGGTGCCGGTGCTCGTAGCTGAAGTTTGTGACAGAAACGTCGCAGTGATCATCACGAAAGTCAACAAGGCTTCTCGCTACGCAAACACCCTGAGACAGCAGAAGCGAGTGATTGCTTTCCATGACTGCTTCATCGTGCATCACTCCGTTCCACGCCACCTGAATCGCAACAGTTGCACGGGGTAATGACGCGAAGATACACTCGGGAGTGGCGGTGGTCGGCGTAAGCTGTTGTGGCGTTTGTGGTCGCGAAAGTGACTAGACGTCGTCAAATGTCAATTATAGCACCATGCTCCCTGGGAAAATCCATGCCAATGGTCAGGTCCCGAGAGCATTGTTGGAGAACGCTAAAACTAGCAACAAACGTACAACCACGAACTTGCAATCTTGCCGTGCTCATACCGAGTGGCGTGACGATATGCCTGCAACTGTACGAATTGGCATGCGGTTCTAAGGAGTCGTTACTTTCTTTACAAGGGCGACCAGTTTTTCGCTAATTATGGAATAGTCCGCACCAGTGTCCACTGAAGCGCTGACATCGCGACCATCTAGCAGAACAGGAATATCTAAGGAAACTCTTCCGCAATCCGCCGGTGCTGTCGTTGTCGATGTATCGTCGGTATCTTCAGTCCGCGTCGATAGGGGGCCTTGAGCATGACCAGTCTGAGTGGCCTTGCCCCTGAAGGTTCCCGAGGCTAGTTTTCCCGATGCGGGTTAGGTGACCGGCCCTGCGCCACACCCGCATAGGTGCGATGATTCGGCGAGAACCGCCGCGGTGATGGCGAGCGTGAGTGGTGCCGAGATGTCAATCCGCGCTGCTGAGCATCGCAGTCAGCGATTTTCGGTGGCCGCTGGCCGAACCTAGGAGGTGAGGAGTTGGCCGAAAAACCACGAAGTCCCAGCTCTCGATAAGTGCACTGTCAATAGATGTGCCCAGGTTCACCACAGTGATAGCAAAGGGGGCCCGCCACACGTCTGATTTTCGCGGAATCGGTCGGCAGTCACTGAGGTATGGGCCCGCTTGGACTGCCTGAAGCATGGCTGGGGCTGTGGTGTAAGGCGGAGTGAAATGTGGTGCAGCTTGGCGCAGAATTTGGTCTGCCGGAAGCATGGCAGGGGCCCCGGTGGGAAGCGGAGCCAAAGGTGGTGCTGGCTGGAGCAGAGTTTGCGCATACGACATGCGAGGGAAGTCATTTAGGGGCCGCGGCTCTGTCTGACAGGACTGTTCTCGTAGTGCCTGCTGAACTTCATCTCGGGTGATGCCGGACAAAGAACTGACAGTGGGCGTCGAGGGTACAGATAACTTCTGCAGTTCTTCGCGAATTACAGAGCGTATGAGCTCTCGGAAGAAGTCGACGTGGCCCCCAAGACCACCCATGTAGTTCGTAGCAGAGGCGAAGTTCACTTGTCGCTCGTACGTCTGGGTCCGTTGCCGAAGCGTGCTTTCAATCAGGACGGCTTCAGCAAGAAACTCTGACGTAGTCTTGGGGGGGCTGCGTACAAGACCACCGAATAACTGCTCCTTCACTCCACGCATCAGGTATCGCACCTTCTTCTCTTCCGGCATGTGAGGGTCGGCTCGTCGAAAAAGATGCGTCATGTCCTCAACATACATTGCTACGCCTTCATTTGGCATTTGCATACGGCACTGGAGTTCACGTTCAGCTCGCTCTTGGCGATCGGGACTTGCATACGTTTCGAGAAGCCAGCGTTTGAAGTCCACCCATGACGTGAACACACCTGCCCGGTTTTCGTACCAAACATGTGCCCCGTCATTCAAACTAAAGTAGACATGTTGGAACTTGTCTGTGTCATTCCACATGTTATGAGCGGCGACGAAGTCATAATGGACTAGCCAATCCTCAACATTCTCATGGACAGCACCATGA